CGTACGGCTGGTGACATTCCTTGAGCCTGTCCGCTGCAGTTGTGGGGCTGCAGCGCAGGTTGCTGCAGCCCCTGCTGCCTTCAGGGCGACCGGGCTCTGCTCCGGGCTGCTGCAGCGCTGCTTGCGCCGGGCTGGGGAGCTCCTGCCAGTGTCCCGCATGCCTGGCCCCTGTGTAGCTGCTCTCCGCTGGTGACTCTTGCCTGCCCCACACCTGCAAGCACTGCCTCGCCTGGGTGAGGGGCTGCCCCTGCTGGGAAACACTCATGCTGTCCCCAGCACTCCCTGTCAGGCCCAGTTCCTCCTCCTGCTGCCCTGCCCAAGGCAGGTGGACACCTCTGGCTTCAGTCTGCAGTGAGAGGGGCTCCTGGTCCCTGCGCCCCATGTTTTGCAGGGCCTTGGAGGGTCTTGAGGCATCGCTGAAGCCGGCGATGGAAGCCTGGGTTCATACACTGCCTACCGTGGGCATAGGTGGCCCTGGCTGTGTGCCCCGCATCCCCTCTGCCTACCCTTTAAGTGTAACTGGTGATCGATCTGCCGTGGCAGCGTCCTCTGAGTCACATTCTCGCCTGCAGGAGTAAAGGGCAAAGGCCAAGTTCTTAGTTTTCATAGAAAACTAATTAGATGACTCCATTGAAAATAGGTCAATAAAGCTGATCGGGGGCTGCACAGAGGGAGCCATTAAGACCCCCGTGACCTTTGTTTGGAGCAAGTGGGCTGGGGCTGCCCTTCCCTTTGGGAGCTGCCCACTCCATGCCAGCTGGACAGCTGCGTCCCTGTCACCCAGTGGCACCGTTGTGCTGGGCAGGATCCCTTGGGCACCTGGATATGGTGTCCTTTCCTGCATGGCTCAGTACAGCTCCTGCACCTCATGGTGCTGTGCTCATGCTGGCTCTGCTGCCCAGGGCAGAGCGGGTGCTGCAGCGCCCTGGGCAGAGCTACGCTGGTTCCAGCCTGTAGGAGAAATACTGTAGGTGCAGTACCGGCCGTGCGGGTACAGCGTGCCAGGCTGCAGGGCGGGGTGACAGATGCCAGTGGGAGCTGGTGGTGGCTGTCACCCTACACCGTGCAGAAAGCTGTGCTGGGGCGCACGCATGGGCGCAGCCCAGCTGGGAGGGGCTGGTAGCGTCCTCGGGGCAGAGCCGTCCTGGGGCACAAGTGAACCCGAGGTAGTGGGGAAGCTGCCAGGCCCACCCACGGTGCCCCTACTGGAGAGCGGGGCAGTGCTCCCAGCAGCAGGAAACCCAGACCTCCCTTTCAGAGGCAAAAGGTTTGCCTTTTTGGGGAGTATGGACATGCAGGGGTGCTGTAGCCCGGGGGGGCAGCCCTGCTGGTGGGGCACCCTGCTCCAGTGTACCCGGGCGGCACACCCCCACCTCTGTTCCTCGTACACACTTGCACATGCATGGACACAGCCCGGGCTCCTTTACCCCCAAACTTTATTCATGTGGCACATTTACAGCAAGGATTGGAATAACTAGACAATGAAAATGCTGGGTTTGCATTATCGGTTGGTTTAACTGGAACACCACACACCATGCAGTCATGTACCGCCAAGTTCAGTGCCTGTATTGCCCTTCTGGCTGCCGTCACCAGCTTCGCTCCAGGCCATGCATGCACGGGCCCAGGGCTGCAGCCTCCCTGCAGGTCAGCGCCCGGATGAGGGCTCCATTCAGCAGGGCCCTGGGGCTGG